TTTTTTGAGACGGAGTCTCGCTCTGTCGCCCAGGCTGGAGTGCAGTGGCGCGATCTCGGCTCACTGCAAGCTCCGCCTCCCGGGTTCACGCCATTCTCCCACCTCAGCCTCCAGAGTAGCTGGGACTATAGGCGCCCGCCACCACATCTGGCTAATTTCTTTTTTTTGTATTTTTAGTAGAGACAGGGTTTCACTGTGTTAGCCAGGATGGTCTCGATCTCCTGACTTCGTGATCTGCCCGTCTCGGCCTCCTGAAGTGCTGGGATTACAGGCTTGAGCCACTGCGCCCGGCCTAGTTTTTTGTATTTTTAGTAGAGACGGGGTTTCCCCGTGTTGGCCAGGCTGGTCTTGAACTCCTGAACTCAGGTGATCCACCCGGCTCAGCCTCCCAAAGTGCTGGGATTACAGGTGTGAGCCACTGTGCCCGGCAATAACTCAGTTTTTCAAAGGGTATCCCTTAATCTAATTAATCCCTCAAGTAGTTCCCCCTCAAATGCCTGACCCTGTTTATAATCTTACTGCAAAATCCAATGATGAAGGAAGTTGTAGAATGCTATCATACAATTCCTTCAGGAAACTCATGATCCCCAAAACTCAATACTTGATTCATTTTAAGTATAAAGAATAGGGATTTTACTAATATAAGCTTATTTTCAAATACTTTTCATTTTTCATTATTTACTATGACATGTTGACCAGTTAGATTTGAACTCCTGGTCTCAAGTTATCCTCCCCACCCAGCCTCCCAAACCACTGGGATTACAGGTGTTGAGCCCGTCTGACCAGGATGGTTTCTTAGAGGATGTCCCACATTCTCACTTGTCATCTTCAAGGTGTCATTTAGCTTGTTTCTTATCTCCTGTGTTTCCTATAAACTGCAGATATCCCAGAGGCTTGCTTAGATTCAGACTAGACATTTTCAGCAAGAAATCGCCCTCAGAATCTTCCATCTTGACCCTGTTCCCAGCTCCCTATCTGCCTTCCAGAGCACTGTCTAGCTCATCCCCAGAATGCGTCTCATTCCTTACTCAGATCCAGCTATGCTGTCCCCACTCCATCACCAGCTCAGGGATATTTTCCTCCTCCAATGTTTGCCTAGTTCCTGGCTAGAAGGGACTGACCCAAGCCCTGCCTCTCCCTTGGCACCTTCAAGCACCAGAACAGGCAGCTCCCATGCCAGAGAACTCTGCTGTCTGGCTGGCACACTGCCGTGGCCTGCGGCTGTCAGACGACTGAGGGGGCCTCAGGTGCATCCTGGCAGTCACCTGTTGGTGGTAAGGCAGCACTGGGTGTGAAGTGAGGCCTGGAGGCCCAGCTGGCTCCTTTTCTGAGTTGTCTTTGGGTACTAATTTGGGCCCTCTTTGGATGCTCATTCATGCCCAGCCAGCATTCTTCCTAGCTTGTGGTTCAAATATTCCCCAAAACTGGAGCCCAAAGACCCCTCCAGAAAAGAAGCTAGAAGGAAAAGACTTTCCTTTGGTCCCTCTGTGCGTCAGAGTTCACTGCAGCCTGGTTTCTTGGACCCTCCACAGGCAGGCTGACAGATGTTTCCTGCTGGCGCATGGGGCCCGCCTGCCCGCCCGCCAGCCTGTGGAGGAACATCACTTTTGTTAGCATCCTCATCAGTTCTCCCTCGGCCTTTAAACGTTTTAGATCTGGAATCTCACTACTTTGCCCAGGCTGGTCTAGGACTCCTGGGCTCAAGTGATCCTCCCACCTCAGCTTCCTGAGTAGCTGGGACTATAGGTGTGTGCCACCATGCCTAGCTTCAGGAATAAATTTAACCAAGGAAAGACTTGTACTTTGAAGACTGGAAAACATTGCCGAAAAAAACTAAATTAGACATAAATAAATGGAAAGTCATCCTATGTTCATGGATTGGAAGACTTAATACTATTAAGATGTCAGCACTACCCACAGACATCTACAGACTCAATGACATTGCTCTAAAATCCTAGTAGTGTTTTTTGCAGAAATAGAAAAATCTATCCTAAAATTCATGTGAACGCATGGGGCTCCAAGTTGTCCAAACAATCCAAAAAAAGAACAAAGTTGAAGAACTTGAGCTAATCTGAAGCTGAGGTGGAAAATCACTTGAGCCCAGGAGTATGATTCCAGCCTGAGCAACACAGTGAGATCCCGTCTCCAAATAAAATACATAGGCCAAGCGCAATGGCTCATGCCTGTAAGACCAGCACTTGGGAGGCTGAGGTGGGTGGATGACTTGAGCCTATGAGTTCAAGACCAGCCTGAGCAACATAGCAAAAGCCTGTCTCTATAAAAAAAATACCAAAATTAGCCGATCATGGTGGTATGTACCTCTAGTCTCAACTACATGGGAGGTTGAGGGGGGAGGATCACTTGAGCCTGGGAGGTGGAGCCTGCAGCGAGACATGATCACACCACTGCACTCCAGCCTGGATGACAGAGTAAGCCCCTGTCATTCGTTCATTCATAAATAAAGCACATTACAGGAAAAAGGATAGACATATAGACCAATGGAATAGAATCAAGAGCTCGGCCAGGTGTGGTGACTCACACCTATAATCCCAGCACTTTGGGAGGCTGAGGTGGGCGGATCACCTGAGGTCAGGAGTTTCAGACCACCGTGGTCAACATGGCGTGGTGACACACACCTGTACTCCCAGCTACAAAGGAGGCTGAGGCAGGAGAATCACTTGAATGCGGGAGGTGGAGGTTGCAGTGAGCCAAGATCGTGCCACTGCACTGCACTCCAGGCTGGGCAACATAGTGAGACTGTGTATCAAAAAAAAAAAAAAAAAGTCAGGAGCCCAGAAACCCTCAAATATATGGTAAAGTGATTTTTGAAAAGGGTGCCAACAGCATTCAATGAAGTAATAGGTAATCTTTTCAATAAATATTGCTGGGAAAATTGGATTTCAACATGCAAAAGAATAAGCTGGACCCGGCCGTGCGCAGTGGCTCATGCCTGTAATCGCAGCACTTTGGGAAACCGAGGCAGGTGGATCACAAGATCAGGAGTTCGAGACCAGCCTGGCCAATATGGTGAAACCTCGTCTCTACTAAAAATACAAAAATTAGTGGGGTGTGGGGGCAGGCGCCTGTAGTCCCAGCTACTTGGAGACTGAGGCATGAGAATCGCATGAACCCAGGAGGTGGAAGCTGCAGTGAGCTGACATCACACCACTGCACTCAAATCTGGGCGACAGTGCAAGACTCTGTCTTGAAAAAAGGAAAAGAGAACATAGGGGAAAATTTTCATGACATTAGACTTTGCAAAGATTGATATGACACCAAAATCACAGCCAACAAAGGGGAAAAAAAAATAAAAAAGGCCAGGTGCAGTGGCTCATGCCTGTAATTCTAACATTTTGGGAGGCTGGGGCAGGAGGACTGCTTGAGCCCAGGGGTTTGAGACCAGCCTGGGCAACACAGCGAGACCCTGTCTC